GGGGGGGGGCTTGATTTTTCATTAATTTCCGGTATTTTGGAACTTGTTATGAAAATAGTGAGATCCAAGGTGACGGATTCAAGATGGCAAATCAAATGATGTCGTCTGACATCAAATGTCCAAAATTGGGGCATGCAAAAATATGGCCATCTCATAGAGCAAGCTCAGGGCTATCTCTACTCAATGTAAATTTATTCTACTAGCCTTAGCATAACAAAAACCTTGGGGAGAGGGTATGACTTTGCTTGTACTTTCGAAAGCAAGACAACGTCCGTCCAGAAGAGCTGAGGCGAGGAGGTATGAAAACTTCACTGCCATAGTTCACGTTCTCCGGCCAATTATCCGCGGAGAACTGTGGCAAAAGTGAACTGAAATAATTCACGTCCAAAATGTATTGTGCACGTTGAGGCTACTCTTCTGTATGTAATGTCTTTCCTATTATAATACTGAAAAGGTCAACTAAAAGAACCAGTGAGAGAAACACTTGACTAAATTTCCAGCTTTTTCGAAGGGATTCATCATAATTCAAAAAATGTTCCTACTTATTTTTTATCCTTACTTCAGTTCTTTAGCAATATTGAACCAAAAAATTCCATTTTATAGCCAGTACAAAAACAAAATATTGACAGTTGTCAGTTATAACCTGAAAAGGAGACCAATCAGAACCTAATGTATTCTCTATTTTCCGTCCATACCACTCGTTTCCTCGCAGATTAATTTCTCTAGAAACTTTGATAACGTGGCGGTTCTGAATATGATTGAGTTTAGATTATCACACCTTATATCAAACCAACCGTGGGAGCTGTCGTCCATATTAACACTTTTTGTGAAGTATTGTCCCTTGGTTTGATCTTGCTTTAGAGGGGAAAAGGAGAACATGTATATTCTCAAATGTGTACAGGAGTTACAGGTGAATGACCTAAGGTTCTTTCCGGCTGGTTGAAATAATATCAAAACGTCTATCGCATATGATTGACAAGGGAAAGAAACAACGTATCCCAATCGAATTAGTACGCAAAGTAGTTTTCTTAGACGAAGTTCTCCTCGTCCACTGACCATCTGTTTCAGTTAAATAATCTTACGTTACTACGAGTCACGTTGTATTTAATCAACAAAGAAAACCTCGTGATCGCTTGGATCAATACAATATCAATTTTTAAGCAAACGTCATTCAAGTGCCCGACGTGTATAACGCACGAGTTGTTCTTTTTTAAGAATGGCGTTTTGCGATTGTTTAGTAATAAGAATACCTCGGCTTGCTTGAGTTGAGGGTACAGAGAGGGCAGGAAGAACCATTTTACATTAGTTACCTTAAGATATTGGTGCAAGGGCAGGCTCAAAAGAGTTTTTGAAACAAATATAAGTTTTTTAGTGATTGTAATAATCAATGACTTCGGCTGTTTGAAATTTTAAACTTCTTCGGATTTAAAGCTGTAATTTTGTTGGAATTAGTTACTTTGGTAACTGTACACTACTTACAGTTAACCGTGTTTCCACGTTAAGGTGATTCCTCAGAAATAAAAGTTGCCGAACAATTTTATTTATTTTTTTTAACTTTTCCTGAATATTTCTTACCAGGCACTGTTTCGAAAAATAAAACAAAAAAAAGATAGGTCATCCTGCTCGCAACAGAGGTATGATGAGCCGAGCTCACCCCATTTATGCCAAATCGCGCGCGTTATTTCATCGGTTTTCGTTAGCTGGAAGCAAATGGAATTATTAAAGAAACACTTTAAAAAACTTGATAGGCAGAAAGTCTCGAACATATGCAACAATGTAATTTATAGCGTGAATGGGAAAAAATACACAATCTTAAACTGCATGGACTCAAAACATTCCTGGAGTCGTTGTTTCGAGGGTCCGTAATTTTCATTCTTGAGTAACGGTTTTGTGCACACTTTTCGCTTTATCTTTTCTCCTTCCGAACAATTTTCCCGTCCTCGACGGGAGCTAGCCTGCCAGCAGGCTCACCTTTGAATCACACGCGCGAGCGGCGAAGAGCAAAGCGATCCGGCGGGAAGGAGTCTGGTGAAGAAGCGCCAAGAAAGTGAACCTGCGCTGATCTCTGTAATTTTTTCATTTCTGCTTCGTCTGAGCGAAGTGAAATACCACTGGTCGAAAAGCGGGAAAGGCGAGAAAACTGTCAATCTACTATGTTTGATGACGAGCGATTAAATGCCCATGGAGTCGCTAATTTACCGCACAATAAAAAACAAGTCGTCTACATTTGGAGTCAGAGGAAGAGTCGAGTGCGCGTTTTACTGATGCTTTAACAAAGTTCCAGTCTATTTCTGGTTAAATTTCAATCTAAAGAGGGAGCAGGAAATAGCAGTTGAAAGTATGTTAATGAATCAAGACGTACTTGTCGTGTTGCCGACTGCATATGAGAAGAGTTAAATATTACAAACGTATGTGATTGCGAGCGGGCAACCGAAACAACACGAAGACGTTTGCCCGTTTATCAACATCGTCAAAGACCAGATTGCCAAAGCAAGATCACTTGGAATCAAGTGTGTGTCCTTAGTAGACATATTATAAAACTTTGACAGTTTTTCTTCGATCGGCAAAAATTTATCAACAACGGATATCGCGCCTCTATGGTCTACATGTTGTTATGAAAAAGATTTACAATTTTCCCGAGAAATCTGAGCTGCCAAAGTTCATAGTTCCGGTGAAAAATAATTGACTTATTCTTTTCTGCGGTTTCCGGGGTGGAAATAAGAAATTTGCAGAGATCAGTGCTCCAACGTGAGCCTGCTCGCAGACTAGACGGGAGCCAGTTGGCAGGCTATTTTTACACATGTTGTCGCATTGTTCTGTTTACTATAAGCTTATTAATTATACGCCGTCTTGTTGCTC